ATATAAACAATATCTTAAGGCTGTTGGTGGTGTCGATTTCGATCAGGGCGAGGATGAGGACTGCCATCGATTTTGACTTGCCTGCACCAAAAAGTCCTTGGATGCACAGGTCTAGCCGATTGGTGAGCAATGCCATTGTCACTGCACATAGCGTGCCTAAGACATGTCCGTCTATTTCGGCAGCGAAAGAAAGTGCCGTTGTGCGGGTCCACTGATAGGGTTCGCCCTCCACATGACATGGGATGAGAACGAGGCGCAGCAACTGCCCGCACAAATGCAGCAAATGTGATCGTTTGTTGCCATCCATTCCTTCAACTGCTGTTTGGACATTATAGATGCCTAGGCCAAGGTGGTACCTACAGGGGGGAGTCTGCGCGACAGCAGTCACCTCACCAGTGGGCTTGGTGCATCCAAACATCCGCATAGTATGGAGGAAGAAGGTGCCTGGGAGTGGGCCCCCGTCCCCCTTGACTGTAGCATCTATGGGTTCGAGGTTCTGGCCAGAGGCAAGGTACCAGTCTTGAAGCACTAGGAGTTGCTCTTGGGCAAAGAAATCGATGGCTGGCCCTGAGAGAAACGCTACTTCAATGGCTCTGGGGTTGCACTGCCTGTGTATTCGGGTGGCAGGCAGTTCATTTTTACCTTTGGATGAGCGTGGCGTGATAGCAAGGACTAGCCCAAAGAGGATTTGAAGGTTTCTGACGTCGCTCGCTGGAGCATCTGTGGTTCCTACCATTGCCACAAGCCTTCCCGTGCCTATGGGGCTAACTTTGTGATGATGTGCCTCACTTGCCAGGAGACTGTAGACTTCCGTTTGGCCTAGGCTCGGGTGTCGGAACGCGAAGGCATCCTGTCCTCCTTTTACTCTCCAATGGCCAAACTCACTGCCTTTGAAAAGAAATTCGAATGCAATTGGTTGCCATGGCTCACGAATTGGGCCAGCACTCTGCATTGTAAGCCCCGTCTCATTGTAGCCTTCATTGGGGCTGAGCATTGGCAGATAGTAGTCCAGCATGTAAACAGCCATGGGCAGCTGTAGGGTGCCAAGGAAGTGCTGTCGAGCTAGCGATCATCGCTAACTCGATCGCATTGGATACAGTTTTGAAAGCAGCATGCACCGCAAGAGCACTTTGCGGCTCCCATGACGATGATGCTTGGAAAAGAACTACTGAGCGGACTCTGAGTGAAATGCCGTAGCTACTGCTGTCATTCTCACATTAGACGATGTCTCACCTCCTGTTTCACCTTATTTTTCGTTTTTCACCACTCTCGTTGCGACACGGCGTCGTCGTTGTTTGCTTCGAAGTGCCTGGGTGAATGTTATGCCTGAATGGCTGCTCTCTGTGATCTCTGGGATCCTGGCTGCGGGGATCCCCGGTTTCCGCAGTGAGCTTTGTTGCTTCTTTCACCCTCTTGCATGGCCCCTTTGTGTTGTTCCGTGTTGTCTTTGTTTTGCTTCATTTTCGGTGGCCATACTCATGATGACACCCATCGTGCATCTCTTTTCTCAGAGGTGGTTGCGATCCCACTTCTCTGTGTTTTTTGGTTTTGGTTTTGTTGTGGTTCTGTGTGTTTTGTCTGTTTGTTTGCCTTTTTTTGTGTTTTGTTTTGATGGGACCGCTCACTGGACTGTGTATTGGTCCATTACCAGTGCTTTTGAGGCTATCGATGTGTAGACGGCCTTGCATGATTCACAATTCATCTTTTTGCAGCGGTTGAACGTGTGTAACGACCTGGCGAAAGCCATGAAGGCGTTGGACGGAAAAAAAATGGTACAGGTTACAGAGATTGAACTGGCTCTGGGTCTCATTTTCACATACTTAGACTTATTTTCAGGACCGAGCCTTTGAGCTTATAATCGGCCGAACTCCGAAAAATGTTTGTAGTCGTTGGTATGGTGTCACTTTTGTGTTGCTGACAGACTTCCTGTGGTGGTTTGATTCCCGCTGGTCCGCGAGTGAGACTCAGTTGACAGGACCGTGCCTCAGGTATAAACGGCCGTCGACAAAAAAAAGATCAATCCTTTTGTGATGTGTTGTTATGTAATGTAAAGTCTCACACCACCCTTCATCAAAGTCTGTTGTTTTCTGATGTATTGTTATGTAGTGTAAAGTCTCACACCCCCCTTCATCAAGGTCAAGTCTCAGTCGCGCACCACCCTTCATCATTTCAAGTCTCTCTGTTTGTCCGTAACACGGAAGTATTGCTTCCCAACTTCCTTTGATAAGTTACAGACCATTTCTGATCACTTTTGACATTGGCTGATGTTTTGCTGTTTTGGTGTTTTGGCCTTCTTCGACAATTTTGACCTGCACTGGCCGACTGTTACATCTTTCTGTTTTGGCCGACCTTGATGTTTGGGTCCACATTGGGCATGCTGACGTTTTAGCAGCTCCGCAAGGTTTCGAGATCAACAATGTGAATGTGATTTCATTTGGAGATTTGGAAAACTTTTCTGAGAAGAAATGCTGGAAAATGGATGTTGGATGTGTTTTTGCATTCAGGAATGAGAAGCTGAAACGGGAAGCTTCAATTTGAACTTCGGTTTTCAGAGCAATGACATCAGATGCCATGCTGAGTGAGAGGGAATTCTTCTTCGTTTGCGCACGTTTTCATGTCCGTTTTTGCCATGTGGAAGCCAACCTTATTTGAAACAAATCGCTTTGAAACGAACAAGTTTGAGAGAATTCGTTTTGGAAAGAATCGCAACAAGCGATCCTTTGTGATTTCGTTTCTCAAGGAAGCAGCCATGTCAATAGGAAGAGCAAAGAAAGACAAACAGCTGATGTGTCGTTGTGTGTTGCGTGGAAAAGGATTGCGACTGGTAAAGCGGAAAATACCAGTGACTGGTATTTTCCGTTTTGCTGAGTTTTTTTGACGACGTTTTCCACGGAGTTAGGTGGTTTTTCTATGAGACTTTGTTGTGAGGCGTAACTAGGTCTTTCGGCAACTAGGTCGCGCGCACACGAGCGTAAAGATTCTTGTTTGGAACTCTACAGTAGACTCTACACTCCGGACAAAGTAGCCCAGGTATGGAGCGAGGTGATGCGCAACATACCGCGACAAGCGTGCTCTAGTCCTCCTAGTAGAAACTGTAGTGAAGCGTCGAGGGCTCAGTCACATGTCTCAAATGGGTGTCGACCTATCTTCCCTCCTGGCTTTGCACATACATACATACATACATACCTACCTAACTACCTACCTACCTACCATACCATACCATACCATACCATGCCATGCCATGCCATGCCATGCCATGCCATACCATACCATACCGTACCATACCATACCATACGATACCATACCATACGTACATAGTTACATACCATGCATACATTACATACATACATTACATTACATCACATTACATTACATTTACATTTACATTTACATTTACAGTTGCATTACATTACATTACATTACATTACATTACATGCATACATACATACATACATTACATACAGACATACATACATACATACATACATACATACACACATACATACACACATACATACATACATACATACATACATACATACATTACATACATTACATACAGTACATACATTGCATACATTACATACATTACATACATTACATACAATACATACATTACATACATTACATACATTACATACTTACATACATTACATACATTACATACATTACATACATTACATTACATTACATTACATTTACATGTACATTTACATTTACATTTACATTACATTACATTACATACATTACATGACATTACATGACATTACATTACATTACATTACATTCATTAATAACATACATAACATACATACATTACATACATTAAATACATTACATACATCACATACATAACATACATAACATACATTACATACATTACATAAATTACATACATTACATACACTACATACACTACATACATTACATACATTACATGCATTACATACATTATACATACAATATACATGCATTAAACATACAATATACATACATTATACATACATTATACATACATTTTACATACATTATACATACATTATACATACATTATACATACATTATACATACATTACATTCATTACATGCATTACATACATTACATACATTACATACATTACATACATTACATACATTACATACCATACATACCATACATGCATTACATACCATACATTACATACATTACATACATTACATACATCATACCATACAGTACATACATTATACCATACAGACGTACATACATACATACATACGTACATACATAAATACATACATACATAGATACATACATACATACAAACTTACATACATACATACATACAAACTTACATACATACATACATACAAACATACATACATACATACATACCATACCATACCATACCATACCATACCATACCATACATACATACCATACATACCATACATACCATACATACATACCATACATACATACCATACATACATACAATACATACATACATACATACATGCATACATACATACATACATACATACATACCATCCATGCATACATACATACATACACGCATACATACATACCAATTGTTGTACGTACCTACGTACACGCACACATACATACGTACGTATGTACGTACGTACGTACGCACATACATTGAAAACGTTTATAGATGTATTGAAAAAACATCATAAAATGCGTCAAACAAAAAGTAAATGCCTGTTTTTCTGGGATGGGTCGGGGCAAAAACAATGAGTTTTTTCCATTTTCCTTTCCCTCCGCATGAAAACACGCTGCAAAAAAAAATGTTTTTTTTTTTTTTGGCTGTTTTAACAGGAAATTTGCAGTCACCGTCTTTGGGATTTTCAAACCTTTTGAAATTTTCAATGAACCAAATGATAAAAAACATTATGTCAAAAAACATCCGTTTTTCATGATCACATTGTGATATTGAAATACATCATTTTGATCAAATTTTGTTGTCACTGCAACGGTTTGGGCTCATGCAGCATCTCCGTCTTCCTGAACAGGAAGAATTGTAGCCAGGGGCGGAGGAGCAGCTGCGTCCCACGGCATGGGTGGAGAGTCCCACTGGAAATGTGTATAATCAAAACTCAAGACCAGCAGAAAACCGTTAATTCAACTTTAACCCATACTCGTTTATCAAAATTGGAAACACAATTTCAATTTCGAATTGCACGAACAGACTTTTGGGAATGGATTCAAGTAAAAAAAATGTTTTGATATTTCATTCCCAAAATGTCAGCCATAGTTCAGATCAAAAATCCTATTTGGCACGATCTGGGATCTGAAGAACGCAGCCGAATGGATATGCGAGATGTTCCTTCCTATGGGTGATGTTGAGATTGAACATTTCTCTATTTGGAAAATTATCATTGATCATCCCACTTAGGAATTGGTCAATACAGTAAGTAACCCTGGTCGGTAATTAAACGTGTCAATATATATTTTTTTTTAAGTGTATACATTGAATCATATATATGTATACCCTCTGGTTATTTAACATAGCCATGGTGTAGATGGCCCATAGAAATAGATGGTTTACCTATTAATAGCATGGTGATTTTAACCATGGCTATGTGAGTCATAACCAAATGGTAATATGTTAGACGAAAAAAATAAACACGTTCCAACTACCCCGTTGTGAAAACCAAAGCAGTTAAACCAGGAAATGATCCGCAGCCTGTGCTGGTTCTCCGTGCTCCATGGCAGCCTTGTTGGAAACTTGGGATTTTCATTGCTTTTCGAAGATGAAATGGTGAAAAACCGGCACAAAAACAACACAAAGAGTGATTGCACCTTCAAACTGGGCAAACATAGTAATTTGTTGTGGTTGCCGATGTTGATTTGAGCACTTGACATATTGTTTCTTTGAATCATGAAGATGGTCGCTAGTCGCTACATTCTTCGCGATTGAAACCAGGCGTTGGAGACGGAAACCAGGCGGGTTCATCGACCATTGGGGGTCGGATCCACTCGGTTCATCGGGGATTACGACCCAAAAAATCGGGAGGATACTTATCAGCAGGGATGAAATGGGATAGGGCTAGATTTCTTAGGTCATTTCAGTCATTTCTCAAGATTCATTTCCATTGTTTTGATTCGCACGCGCCCTTGGCCTGTGGTTTATCCGGCTTGCACAGCGGACTCGTTTTGTTGGATATACCGTGACCCCATGAGCGCTACAAGAGTTCTCGGGTTTGACAGGTTGATATATACTGAAAATTTTATACATCAGGAATCAGCCACGGGCCCAGGACTTTCCAGTTAGTGTGGCTGAGTCGGCAGATCCCTGGGAGTAGTTTCATCCGGTTAGTTTGCCATGGAGTTTGGTCGTTCTAGGTGCTCGAAGCGCCTGACACCCTGTTCCTGATGTTCTCTTGGGCGAAGACCGTGCATGCTTGAGTCTGCCATGCTCCATCGCAATGAAGGTGCTTCACACGTTTGGCAACTGGACTTGTTTGTGCAAATTACTGTGTCCATGCCCGGAGTTGGCGATTGATATCTTTGTGGACATGCAGCGGTTGAGCAGACTACGTCAACGCTATACCATGATGGTACCTCAAGTGTTTGATGGTTGGCTGTGCTTGTGCAAATTACTCTGCCCATGCCCGGGGCTGGCGATTGACATCTTTGTCGGCTGGCAGCGGTTGAGCAGACTACCTCAACACTGCGCCATGATGGTACTTCAAGTGTTTGGTAGCTGGCCGTGCTTGTGAAAACTGTGTCGTCAATGCCTAGAGCTGGCTTTTCACATGCTTGGTGCTGAGCCGTGGCTGAGAAGAGGTCTTTCAACCTGCTTATGTCGGTTCTTCAAATGCTTGGAAGCCAACGGCCTCAGTCTGTTGCCACTGCCTGGCCTTTGAGACAGAATTAGCGGCCTGAGACAAGTGGCTTGAGTCGGCCCTGCAAGCAGTGCTGATCCTTCACACTGCAGGTGCCAATTTCGTGAGGCGCCTGGGTCGCGCAGACTTGTGTTTTTTACCCAGGCAACGAGTGCAGCATCGCTTTTCTCCTTTTTCTTAGTTCATGCTCCAACCCTGTTTTGCTTCAACCAAGTTGGCATCTAGACAAATGAAGTGCTGACTCCTGGTTAGTTAATGGATTGGTGGGCATAGCTGACATATGCTTTGCCTCCCTGTTGGTCTGCAGCCTGCAGAAATACCACGGCCGCGGGTAGGTGCAAACTCACCTACCCCCTGTGATGTGTGTACAAAGCTGTCTCTCGGGGACACGCCCGAATTGTCCGCGCTATACATCAGGAATCACATGAGGCTTGCGAGAAGACAATACGCTGAGGTTGAAGAGGGGACTATCCCAATCTGGAGCAGCATGCACCGACTTTACTCTCGTGTTTTATTCTTCCATATTCCATATTTTTCCGTTCCCTATTCAGCTTTAAGTCTCAAAAATCATCAATTCTTGCGTTATTTGGAGACCATCCCCAGGCCTGTCACAAAAGTGGTGAACCTCTTAGAGGCGGCGTTGCGGGCCACGAAACCACGAAGCCACGATGGGAAACACTTTTTGGTCGGCTTGGCGTGCCCTGCAGTTTCTAAGGGGCCTGTTTTTTCCTTTAAATCTGCCAATCTGGACGGCCCCAGCTTCAGCGCTTCAGCACAGGGTATGCAATCCAATTTGGAAAAGGAAACTAAAGAGGATGAGGTGCGAAGTTTGCGGAAAAGGGGTTGGTATCTGGGTACATTGGCAGTTTCCCATCAAACAAGGCAAGACATGAACGGTGCATCACTAGGGAGATGGAAGAAATGCATTGGATCATATCAAGTATTTTCGCAACTGTAACATTCTCGTGAGATCAGATTCTTTGCCGTTCCGGATGCAATTCATTCTGCGATCCCTTCCCCCTCACCCACATAGCCCCCCAATATGAATAATGCCAGTACTGGACCAGAGTTTCTAGGTGGTTTTCCATACTAGGGGGAAGGGATTATTTGGTTCAGGACACCCATGACAAGATGCAATGTTGGTGCAAAACCAACGGAGACGAAAAAACCAAGAGCATAGAAGAGGCCCAGACCAAGATCAAGGCACTAGAGCGGGGGGGAGTTGAATCTCATGTGTCTGGTGATATGCAAGACATAGGCAGGCTTCGCAAGAAAACAGTGGGGAGTCTTGGGATGTCATTCTATATATATAGATCCTTATTTTTTTTTTGCACCAACCATCCCACCAAAAATATCACAGAAAACCCTACTGCAGCTGTTTGAATTTTTGTAATGTTCGGGTATACCAAGCTGTATTTTGGTGTGCAACAACTATAGTTTGGTGTAGGTGTCTGCCAGCATGCAAAACCTTTCACGGATTTTGTCCAAGCTCATTGAAGTCTGATTCCACCAACATATTTAATGTGCTTCTCGATTTTGGACATGGACCAGGAAAGCTGGGAGATATTGGGGTTCCAACTCATTTGCAAACAAAATTCATCAACTTCAAGAAAGAGAACTTATGTCCACCATTGATGGAGAAATCACTGTTCTTCAGGGCCGCCAAGTTTCACTGAAGCCGCGATTTCACAGATCTGTCACTCTGACCGGGATTATGATCCAGTTTTGGGAGGTGAAACCAGCAACTAATATGGGTATGGATCAATACCTATGAAAATACCATTTTTAGGGGGATGAACATCCATAAATCCCAGCTATTTTGATGTGAACAGAAGGGGTACCTTGGGTTTTGACACACTGCCATATGATGTGTATGGTTTTAGTATGGTTTTAGTATGGTTGAGTCATAGGGGGATAGTTTTGTTGATCACCAGGCCCTTGAAGCTCGAATGGATGAGCTGACAGCGACCAGCTCTCGCCTGGCCACGGAGATTGCGGTGGCCGAGGTGAACGCGAATTTTAAAATGCTTTAAAGTGTAAGGTACTAAAACTTTACAAATTTAGGGAATTCCAGGGAATTTGCCAGATTCTGATTTTGAGAGAGAAATTGCAATTTGACACACAAATGTCAAAAATCAAAACCCAATGACTTCTACCTATTCATGCAAACATGGTGCTTGGGGAAATCTCCTGATTTGTTGTCTAGGCTTTGGCAAAAATATCACGTGAACATCGGCTCTGGAAGAAAAAATACAAATTTTAAAAGCTAGAACATGCTTTCCTGCTTTACTAAAGATGAACGTATCGTTTTGGTGGGGTATCCTGGTACCAAAAGTCGGTTTCCTCTCGGACGTCCTATTCCTGGGACTCCAAGGCACTAGGATGGTCTCAGATCAACCTATCACCGCCCATGGGTCCCGTGCTATCCCCATTCGGTTGCCATTGGAGGAAGAAGTGTCCAACAATGAGAAGGCCTTGCAGTCCGCCCAAGCCTTGCGCGAAAAGCAGTTCACTGAGTTTAAGAGTGATTTCAAGGAGCCCTGGGGTTGACTGGGTGTTGTGGTCGGCATTTTCAACAGACCTTTTTAAAAGGTCCTGGCAAATTATATAGCTAGGTTTGATCACAATATATCTGCATGTTTCAGGGGTTGCTCAATGTCATGTTTTTGGGGAGGATGTGACTGCACCAGGGACTATGGCATTGGGGTGGCCATGTCAGCTTGTAGAGTTCTTTACGCCTTCCCTCCAAGTGAGTTTTTTGAAAATGAGTCGCTTTTTTTGAAATCAGGCAGAATTCCTTTCTCCCCAAGCGCAATTTTCCCAAATATTACAATTGATCCCATGATATCCCCTTTTCAGATCAGGAAAAATCTCATTCAATCACTATTTTTGCTGGTTAAATCCCAAAAAAATATCCCATGAAAAATCCCATTGAATCACAATTTTTGATATGTTTGCTGATTAAACATAACATCCCCATCATATTCCCCTTTCTGGTTGGTTTTTTCCAGCATCCCCAGGATCTCACAGAGTCCGCCACTTCAGTGGACAAGGCGCTGGACGCCATCGGTGTGGTGCTCCAAGGGATGGGGTGGTGGCAGGGAATTTTGCTGGGAACATGGCAATTTTAATGGGGATCATGATGATAATCTGATGGAATTGGGGGTTGGGGGGTTAGCTTCGGACCATTTCTGACCAGTCAAAGTTCCATATTTTGTTCGGAGCAGAAAGGCTTCTGATTCCGTTGCAACTCAGCATGTTGCACCATTTGCATGAACGCACTCACAAACCATTGCTGGACTGGTTCAATAAAGGGGTCAGCAGATGTTCCATAGAGGATTTTCGTGCCATCTGAGGCACCAATAAATCGTCCTTTCTGCAGACCTCCAGGGCTAGGGGACTTGGGGACCTGGTGGGGACCTGGGGGGTTTGTGGCCAAACACTGGGCCCACCAGGGTTAGTAGATGGTATTGGAAACCCATTGTAAGGGTTCCACCAACAACTGCGGTTGAAGAGTGAAAACGCTTCATCATCCAAGCACTGAACATTTGCTGCGCCATCCTCGAGAACAAGCACCCACTCAACCACAATCCATGGGGTTGTTAACCATCACAAATGGAACATTTAAGTCAACAATCATGCGGTTGAACGCCTGTGCATCTCTAAGATAGAAGCTGCAGTCTAAGTGGCTACGCTTTGTTTTTTTTTCACAATTTTAGGAGTTTGCTATGGAACACCACTCATTTTTCAAAGGAAAATCATCGCTTTTTCGCTTTTTTGAAATGGGCCATGGATGGCCATGGCCTCTTGGACCTCCTTTGGGCCAGGGACGGATGGCTAGTGCCATGACTCAGCTGAAGATGGTTTTGCTGAGACATGCGCCTCGGAAGAAATCATGGGTAAACTGGTAATATATATATTATACATATATATATATAATATATATATATATACATATTATATGTCAATATATATATATATATTATAATATTATTATATATGTATTATATATATATATATGTATATATGTATAATTGCAACTAGCAGGTGGGGATATGAGCACTATTCATTTATGCTAGTCATTTATATACAAAACCTATGGATGAGTCAAGACTAGACCTATTGTACTATATATGGGGAATGAACATCCAAGCACCAGTTTCGATCCCCAAATGATGGGCGACTTTGATAGCAGGGAAAGGCGCATTAATTTACATTGATTTGAGCCGTGAGCATGGACAAAATACCCAATAAGTCAGCAGAAGTATGCGAACAACCAAAGTCGTCACGTAGAGTGGCACAGCCGGCCAGCAACCATCTACCTTTTTCGACGGTCTGTATGCATGCAGTGCTTATTCTTGAGATGGCGGAGTTTTTCGTAGCGATTTGACTTCACCAGCACAGATCATTAACAGTTTTCAGGTCCTGGGAAACAACCATTCGGGTAACTTTCTGTGGTAAAGCATGACACTTTTCCACTATTCAATATTCAATAATTGTTC